TGTGTGGTTTGCAGCAGGACACATTGACCTGCTGCTCCATGTGCTGCAGGGGGACCTGGCTGGGCCACAGGGTGTGTCAGTGTGGGGGTAGCTGGCAGGCATCCCCCACGCTGAGGGACCCTGTGCCCCAGCCACCCAGGGAGTGGCATGCAGACATGGGGGAGCCACTCCCTGCCTGGCTGGGGTGCAGCTTGCGTCGAGATGAGGGAGGAGGCAGTGGGGGCTACTCTGAGCACGTGGAGCCCCTGTGCTGAGGCACCTTGTGCCCCAGCTGGCTGAGGTGCAGTGTGGCTTGAGATGGGGGAGCAGGCAGCTCCCTCCACTCCCTGCTCCCCCATCTCAAACCACACTGCACCCCAGTCAACTGGGGAGCAGCTGGCTGGAGTGGTACAGGGTGCCTCAGCGTGGGGGCTCTGCAGCATGTGGAGATGGGGGAGGAGGCAGCCCTGGGCTCCCTCCTCTCTGCGTTTGTCCTGGCATATGACAGTTAAGCATGCTTTGTGCTGCTTTTTTTCCCCAGGGGTTTTATTTGTTACTGGGAAACCATGGTAACAAATTTTGGCCCTGCACTGTAGCAGCGCCCCATACCATTTAATGTTCAACATGCATGCCCCCCAAAGAGGTTTGTGACACCACAAACCACACATGCTTGCACATCTGGATCCAGCCCCTGAGTCCAGTAAAGTTGGAAACCAATAGGGTATTACTTCTAATTTCATGCTGTAACTGCTAGAAAAAATTCCCTCCATGATTACAGTCTATTTCAGCGGCTACATGGAAAAAAAGCTTTTTTTTCCTTGTTTTTTTTTTTTCTTTGTGTGTGCAATTAATAGCTTTCCTGTACGTTCTTCTTTTTGAACAGTTATTCTCACTGGTGTAAGGCATGAATAAAGGTAATAGCCCAATTCTAGTAGACATTTTTTTGTATGTGCATATTGCTTCAGGCTGAATTTTTTGGAAATTTCAGGAAAAACAGTTCAGTCATTAGGGAAAATAGGTAGTTTTGCAAACACTGTTTTCTGTCTATCTTCTTTTGTCTGTCAGCTGTCTCTTTGAAGAAATTGAACACCTCTAGGATTTGGACTAGAAAGTATAAAATTTGGCAGGTTATGTGTGGGCAGGTTATGGTAATTCATTTGCCTTTTCATGACAATATAATTAGCTGACTTTTATTAGATTGTTCTCTCTACATTATGCCTAACCTTGTACTTAGAAAGGAGGACAGTATCCGTTACTTCAGCTCTTCCTCACTCTGCATTTTGATGATTCTTCCCTCTAAATGCTTAAGGTTTGTATACGGGGGAAGCTGACCAGTAGAACAAAAATGATGCAACTCTCCATGTGGATGCCATATTTCTGCATAATCTTTCCACTTGCATATAGTTATACTGCTGTTATGGTCCCAGTCACTTTTCCTCAGGTAGACCTGTCCTCGGATGCTTTTCTGTTCCTCAGGCTTTGATTGGTGGAATTTGCATAATTTTACCAGTTCTCCCACAGCTTTCCAATTAGCAGTAGTGTCAGTGAGTCTTGCCGGTATCGTGATACTCTATTCCTCTTTGTCAGCGGTAGTGGTAGGAGCAGAGGCTTTGGAGTTGCATGCATGCTACACTGTGGATCTGCGTACATTAATAATTAGTCTATAAAAGCAATATAGCTCCCAAAATTAAAACTTTACTTATTTTTTAAAGGAAGGTGAAATTTGGCTGAAATTGGCAGTAAAGGTAACTTTTCCTGGTGAGCTGTTTTTTCAAGTCCTGAAGGTCCAGGCAGTGAGTTCTGGGGAAATTGTCTTGGGGCTGGCAATCAGGACCTCTAGTTATACTTTTTTCTGTGCTTTATTCTGCCATTTAGTGGCATTTGATGCATCCCCTCACCTGTTTAACATGGGGTGCGGAACCTATCATCTTGGATTTGAGTACAAAGCAGTAGGGGATTCGGCAGGTCTGGCTCAGCCCTGATCTGGGGTCAAGGGCTGAGCTGCAGCTGCCTTCCTGCCACCTCTGCCCCTGACATTTCCTTACATGCATTTGTGCCCATTGCTTCTCTGTTACTTTTCCTGGCAGATGACTTCCATAACTGCTTTTGGGAAGATGTCCTTCCTGATGTTAAAGTTTTTCCAGTCATGCTCATTTGTTTTTGTTTCTGGAAGCTGAAAAGGACTTTTTTTTTCCTTTGCTTCTTTTTGTGGCTCCCTCCGTCCCCCTCCGCCCAGGCAGTGGTTCCCAAACTGTTCGTCGTGACCCCAGATAGGGTTGCAGTGTGATGCAGCACTCTTTCCCATGCCAGGTCTTGCCTGCTGGGTTGCGCAGGCTTGGTGAAAGGGCAGCAGGACATGGAGCCCCAAGCCCACAGTAGGCAACCTGCATCCTGCCCCCACCCCTCATGGGCTGCGTACTGGCTGTGCCGCCCATAAGGGAGGAGACCGGTGGGAAGCCAGGCTCCACGCTTCAGCCTCAGTAGCTGCTGCTTCCTGCGGGCAGCAGTCAGGACTCAGGTGCTGCTGGGGTGGAGGGGCAGGGGGCTGCAGCCCCTGGCCCTGGGGCATGTGGGGAGAGTGGGGGGCTACAGAGTGGGAGTGAGGGGCAGTGGTAGAGCCATGGAGCTGTGGATCAGAAGTGAGGGGCACCTGGGGGGTAGGAGGCTGCAACTTGGGAGTGAGGAGCCGTGCTGAGGAAATGGGATCATAAATGGCTTCATATTGAGGAAAAGTTTGGGAAGCACTGTCCTAAGGACACTGTGGCCAAGTAATCTAGGTGTTTGCCTTGATTAAGTGCAACATGTTGAAGAACATAATGGCTTCAAGACATTTATATTTAATCATGCTACTATAATCCCATTGATTTCAGAAGTGCCTTGCAATACCAGAGGCACAGTCTTGGGAAGAAGCAACTTTTGCTGTTTTTTTTAATCCTTGAATTCTAATTATAACTGCTTCTCTTCCACTTCATTCATTAGTTGGTAAGGGGTCAAAAATCTGATTCAGTGAGCTCCAACTTGTACCGGCCTTTTTGTACTTGAAATCAACTCTTGTTTAGTTTGGAGCACCACTTTCACTAACTGCTCCAGGTTTCTTGTTTATTGTCAATGATTTGTTACTTTTTTTTTGGTTGGGGGACACAAGTAAAATACGTAATTTTTACTGTCATTGAAGTCAACTTGCCTGGGATCTCAAGACTAAATGGATGGCATGGTTAGTGTCTACTTGTGTTTACAGTAGCACATATAGGGCCCGGTGGAAAATAACATTCCCTTATTCTAAGCATTATGCAAACTCAAAGTAGGTACAGTCCTTAGTCTAAGGTGCGTATATTCTTAAATAAGCAAGTTGGGCAAACAATGAGAGGGAGGAGCTAGTTTCTCCATTTTAGAGATGGACACAATTGAAACAGGCTAAGTGATCTGCCAAAGGTCAGACAAGGGGAGCTGTAGCAGAGCTAGGAACTGAGCACCTTCTTTCCGAGTCCCGGCCTTAACCACAAGATCATTCTTTTGTTCTGAATGATTCTCTTGTGTGTCATTCATTTCTCGGAACTATGGAGTGTTCAGGTTGTATTGCTTTTTTTTCTTGCAAAGTTGTAATTGAAAACAGAATAGGTCTGGGAGTAACTCACTGTTCTGTTGAGAGACCTGGGACAAAATCAAGCCCAGTCCCTCTTGACTACATAGGCTTTACCTGGAGTAAAGTAGGAGTAAAACTAAATAGTTAAAAGACAAGCAATCTTCTGATTACCAAATCTCTCACTTGACTCTGAGTATCCCTTGAAGTTCTTCAGACTCAGTTCATACTAAAATTCCTTTTTGTCATAGCTGGCTATCTAGATCCTATTTGGGATGATGTAAGCATTGTGTTCCCGGTAACAGGGTTAACCTGAATGAGCTAGCATAACCATACTTCTTCAGTTAAGTAAGTACCTGTCAATTCATTGTTAAGCGGTGAATTGCACATATGGTAATTTATGGACAGTTATGTAGGTGACATGACTATTTAGTACTATAATAATAAATGCCAGTGCATTTTGAAAAGGAGATTAACCACGTGCATTAGGGTTTGGAATACATCTTAACTATTAGGTTGTGATGGGACCTAAGGTGGGGTGGGGAGCAGATTCTTGCTTATCTTTGTACTGTAAGAGTGTCTTACTCCTTCCACAGAAGCATCTAATATCTGCTACTGTTGGAGACAGAATATGGGCTGTGAGGGACCTAAAGATAGCAATGTTCTTATTGATGTATTTATCAATCAGTGTTAAGAGGATGATGATGAAAGAGAGCCACTATGTATTTTAGAACTTCTTCAAAAAGTTTGATTCTTGTAATCTTCATGCTTTAATTTAAAAAATGAAGCAGGGGACACCAGACTAGTACACCGAAGGGAGAGCTGTGGAATACGTACTGGAGGTGGTGCTGGTGAGTCACGAGGTAGTAGGTTTTGGCTTGGTTGTTGGACGCATGTTGCTGTTGTTATTGGGATGTGTTATTAACCCAAGGTCCTGACTGCCTGGCCAGTGAAACCTCATGACACCTTTCACAAGCAAAGTCTGTTGCTTTGGCATCATGTCCAAACTGCATCATAGGGAAATACAGCATTTTAACTGAAATTTCCACCTTGTAGTTTGATTGGGACACTGCTGACCTCATTGGTTTTGTAATATTGCCTCATTTGATCTAAGTGCTGCTTCTGTCTTATGGGTGAAGTGAATAATGTAGATTTTAGTTTATAAAGCATGATAGGTTCTATCTGAATTAAAGGCACTATAAAAAAGTGCAGTCTCTCTTAGAAGTTCATATTTATCTTTAGCCAGATATGTTCCGTTTAGCCACATACAAACTGCAGCTAGATTAATAAAGCAAAGTACTTATTTTAAAACTAATTCTTAATATTTGTTCTGTTACTTTAGAGAGAAGGGAAACTTCCTGTGTACTGAGGGTGCTTGTATTGTTTGTTACAAAACGCATTCTTTAGATTAGATTCTTACCCAAATTCCCTTTTGTTGCAGATGGCCGCACAGATCCAATTTTGGATGATGTAGGTGATGCTTTCCAACTCATGGGAATTAACCTGCATGAGCTTGAAGATTATATACACAATATTGAACCTGTCACATTTGCACATCAAATCCCTTCGTTTCCTGTCAGCAAGAACAATGTCCTACAGTTTCCCCAGCCTGGAAGTAAAGATGCAGAAGAAAGGAAAGAGTACATTCCTGATTACATGCCACCCATTGTCTCATCTCAAGAAGGTGCGTTCTTAACTGTTTTTTTGCTTTGGGAGGAGAGAGGGAGTTTGTTTTTGAGCATTCACGTATTTCTTCTGTACATTAAGTTATCCAAGTTGTGCTGCCCATAGTCACTTGATGAGACACCTGGAAGGGCACTGCACAAACAGTGAAATACAAATATTCTATTAAATCATCATTAAAAAAAAAAAAAAGGCACAGTGTTGTGGCCAGAATGATAGAACTCATTTCCACTCTTATTTCACTTTGTTTTAGAGAGTAAATAGTGTTAAATGCTTGTGTTTGTACAGCTTCCTAGAAACCCTGAATAATTAAATAAATGTGTTATGCCTCTCAGTACTTAAGGTAGGCATAATAACCCCATTTCACAGATAAAGCAGAAAGCTTTCATATAGCTTTTCTAAGGGAACAGGGGAAGTCCACTGCAAAGCTGGCAGTGCAGTGCAGGCCTCCATGGGCATGAGGGACAGAGGTCTGTGAAATCAATGATATGTAATTCTGCCAAACATTGTTTCTTCTCTCAGCTACAGTAATCATGAGTGTTAATTATCATATTGTAATAATAGTGGGAAGGCAGTAAAAGGCATTTTTTTCCTCCTCCATTTCAGATAAAAGAAATATGAGTGCTAGCTAATACGAGGCAGTTAAATCATGTGCAACATAAGTTGACTGTCCCTTTTGATATTGACAGTTGCATATATCTATTGTCTCCCTGCAAGCTTATGTAATGCTATAGGTTAGGTACAAATATGCCAAACTGAACAAAGTCGCTGTCCTGAAGACTGTAGAGTACAGTTGACAGACAGAATTGTAATGAGGTGTTTATTTCTTCTGAAGCTGATTGTGTGTGTGAGGACAGAATGCATATCATATTATGTCATGTGTACTGTTCTGTTCAAATACTTCGTCTATAAATCCTGAGAGACTAAATGTTGCAATACGGGAAAAAATCTCCACGGTATGAAGAGGAACACAAACTGCTTTCCCTTAAGTGTCAACTTAAAATAAATCCTGTTTGGGTATTGCCACAAATGATGTACTGTGTTGTTCTGTTGTTGACTTTTATTTGGGTTTACAGTATATTTCCTGCTGTTTGTATACAGGTCTGTGGATTGAGCTGTAATATACAATGCAAACTAAGTAAGATGAAAGACAGGGGTAGTTATCTGGAATCAGAAAATATGAGAAATAATATTTTCCATATATTTAGCACTATTTAGAGCAGGGGTTGGCATCCTATGGCCTGTGGGCCTGATCTGCTTTTCAGACCTTAGGGGGCTTTGGTGGCATTCTGGTAGTGGGGGTGCTTTGCCCACACCTTGGCCAGACAGCAGAGAGAAGTGGTGGTGGTGGCAGCAGGAGCCAGATCAGAAATTACAATCCACCTTGGACCTGAGCTGAGTTGTTTCAGGCCCCGACTTGTTAACCATTGCCGATCACTGGTTTAGAATAAATGTAATATTCCCAGAAACATGCTAAAGAATCACGCTGTTGACCTCAGCTGCCCTGGACACGCAGTTTTCTCATTTTATTTCGTTGCTTAGACTGCAGAGATGGATATGTATCGTTAGTCTGTGAGATATTTTAATAATCTTATGTTAAAGCAACTGAAAGTAAAGTTTAAATAGTGGCTCAAATACCATTCAGAGCTGAAAGGCTTCTTTACATTGACAAGGAATCACTCTATTTACTCAATTAGAAGATGTGATTTCCCACCCCATTTAACATAGGAGGGAAGGGGAGCCGCTTACCTTTTCACTCAAGCACAAGGCAGTGGGGGAGCTGGCAGCTACTGTGCCTTCTGCCCTAACCCGGGGTTAGGGTTGGAGCTGTAGCCACAGCTGCCACATTACTCCCTGCTACCTCTGTGCGCCCTGCTACTCCTTCCTTTTAGTCCCCAGTCTCCCTCTGCACCATTTTTCTCTTTCTCCCTCTTTGCTATACTCCTCCTTAACCCTTGCTCTGTGCTGGCAGGCTCTGTTCTTGCTGCAGCCTAGAGCACAGAGCATGTGCTCCAGCCCAGTCCTGTAGCAACTGCTTCAGGGCAGGGCTGGAGCTGTGCCCCTAGGCTGCAGCAGTATTGGAGCCTACCAGCAAGGAGCAAAGGTAAGGGGTGGGAGGGTGGATGGGCAGTTCTTGAGGAGACACTGGTGGGGGAGACAGGATGCAGAAGCAGTGTGGAGTGGAAAAGAGGGGAAGGGGGAAGTGGGGTAGCCTGAGGCTGGGGGAGGCAGGGGCAGGAACAGTGGGGGAGCTTGGGGGCAGAGGAGGCAGAGGGGAAAAGTTGCTTGCCTCTATCACTGCCTGCCCTATCACCTCCATATGACCTGCCACCTACTTCCTGTTCCCCCCCCCCCCCCCTTGCCCCATATAGGCCTCCCGTCCCCCCTCCCCCCACA